TAAAATTTTGTCACTTTTGTAGATGAAATAGACATGTTTCTTTTTATCTGTTATTGTGTCCATTCTCCCTTGTTCTCGTATTTGTTATTTGCTATTCTTAATAAAACATTTGTAATCATTGCTCCTAAGTTGTTTTTTTTTTCTAGATTGCTAGTTTTTACCGATCTCCATAATTATATTGATCTTTATAGCTGTGCACAAAGGCTAGTCTAGCAGGAATCTTTTAAACCTTGGTCTAAATGTTGGTATAGTTTTGTTTGTATTGCCAATCTTTTCATTGATTATTCTTCATTTTCTTCGTAATCCCTGAGTACTCTTGCACTGAATATTAATATGTGAATTGCAGAATATCTTCGCTTTATATCTTAATTTACAGATACCCCCCCCTCCCCCCTATGCATTTTTTATCTTTACAAGTTTGCTTTTCTGGAGATGTATTTTAAGTATTTTAAGTAATTATGAAAGTTAACTCGACAACTTATTCCTACAGACTCCTGGAGATGATATCACGGGCCCTTTTTGAGGTCCCATACCCTGTAATCGAGAGTCGTTCAATAAGAAATGCAAAATGTCATCTAAAAATAAGAAAAGCAAGAAGCAGTTTCTTTATATTTTTAATCCCTCAAAGTATTCCCTGTTATCCTTTACATGTGTCTAAAGTCCTTGTACCCATGATCAGAACACCTCGGCACACTCTTCGTTAGGGATGCTCAAAAAACACTGACGGATAGCAATCCTAATGACATACCTGAAATTGTTAAGTCTTTCTTTGATTGTTTTCTTGAGTTTGTGAAATAAAAAGATTTCACACTGACTGAGATTTAGCAAATAGGATAGAGAGGTAAAGGACATTTTGAAGGAAGGAACGTTTAAAGAGCTTAGCCATCCTCCACTGGGAGATAGGTAAAAACTTATTTGTCATGCGGAGAGAAAAAAGAGAAGAGTTGGACTGATAGGGGCATTGTGTCCATACAGACCCCTAGGGAGAATGACATTCCTTGAGGTGTTTCCCTTGAAGTCATGAAGGCCCATTCCTACATCCTCAACTACATTAGAATAAAAAAGTTCAGACAAGTTAACAGGAACACTTTAGAAACCCCCGGGGAGGTGGACATAAAGTACCACTGAGATCTTCTATCATGTGGAGTTTTTGGTAAGTTACAGTCTTAGAACGCTCTGTAAGTAAATAGCCTTGAAATGTGCTCTCTTAGGATCACTAGGTGCATGGTACAACTACTGCTAAGAATCTCTGCATTTTCTTCCTAAGTGGGCTATGTACCAGGTCAGAGTCGGAGGGACCTTATCCATAGATACGGAGGGTATAGAGTGAATTACGGTGGCTGGTAGAGGACATGGTATGAGAATTTTTTTTATTAATTCGTGGCCACGAAATAAAATTCGTGGCCACGAAATAAAAATTCGTGGGAACGAAACAAATTTCGTGGCCACGAAATAAAATTCGTGGGAACGAAATAAAAATTCGTGGCCACGAAATAAAATTCGTGGCCACGAAATAAATTTGTGCTACATAATGCCATTTTTAGCCTCTTCTGTTTTATGTCATTCAAGATGAACGAACTTATATATAATTATCATTTAATTGGAATGAGCCAACGGGATATATGTGTAATGAGCAATGAGATTCGATGCTGTTACGTAGAACATGTTTCACATGAGAAGTTATACTCCTAACATGCTAAGATTTTGTGTCTTTATTTCATTACAACTATGTGACAGGATTCAATAGAAAATGTGAGAAAACAGCAAATAAGCCCTTAAAGTCATTAATGTTCGGGTTGCCTTGACTAATATCAGGAACAAAACTTGCCAGAGTTATTATAGTTAAGAAAAATACATAACTTGGCTAATATAAAATTGTCCCTGTGTATCATATCATCTAAAAAATCGTGACTTCATGCTGTGTCATGTAGCATGATGACAAGCTGAAGAGAACACTTTCATTTTGTTTTATCATTTGGTTAGGATGTCATTTTGGATGCAGTATCATTGAACTGCCTTAAACTCCAGAACCGGCTTGAATGTCTTGTTTTAATTTTGGGCACAGAGCAAAAGAGAGAGTTTATTATTATTTTTTTTTTTTACATCTAGACTATGTTCATAATGCATGTACCAATTCTCAGCTGCTTCTAATATATATGCAAATTAAATATATGGGTATTTATAATGATGTTTATCAATGCGGGCCAGTTACAATAATCTAACTGTGTCTGTGTGTCATTGGACAGACTCTCACTAGGTCCATAGCAAATTATCATTTTAACACTATATGTACATATAATTGTGAAAATTAGCAAATTATCATTTTAACACTATATGTACATATAATTGTGAAATAAAAATTCGTGGCCACGAAATAAAAATTCGTGGCCACGAATTTTATTTCGTGGCCACGAATTTTTATTTCGTGGCCACGAATTTTATTTCGTGGCCACGAATTTTATTTCGTTCCCACGAAATTTATTTCGTGGCCACAAATTTTTATTTCGTGGCCACGAATTTTATTTCGTTCCCACGAAATTTATTTCGTGGCCACAAATTTTTATTTCGTGGCCACGAATTTTATTTCATGGCCACGAATTTTTATTTCGTGGCCACGAATTTTATTTCGTGGCCACGAATTTTTATTTCGTGGCCACGAATTAATAAAAAAAATTCTCATACCATGTCCTATAGCAGCCACCGTAGTGAATTGAGTGATTTAAGAATTTTGAAATATCGTAGCTGACTTCACTGCTTGTGGGTGCCCTGGGAAGGGGGTTCAAACCTCAGACCGGGGTAAATACTTTCGGGAAAAAGTTTAAAAGCCTTAAAAATTTGACAAAAACGTCTTATTGCACATATATACAAGAAAACGTCTTATTGCACATACAGTGTACAAGACATTAGTACTTATACTTAAACATCATGCAAATGAAACTGGGAGATAATAACTGCTATGCATGAATGACCTTTTCTGGATGTCAAACATCACGAACATTGACTGAGTTAATCAAGAAATAGTGAAAAGTAGATATTATTAAGTACGCCTGATTGTGGACTTGAATTTCCGAACCATCGAGAAATAAAGGTCTGCAAATCGTAAGGCGGTTTTATCGTATTACCAATAGTCCACCTTTGTGTCTTTCAAACAAGCACACGAACGCATCTAACGGGGCGTGATAGTATATACTACAAAATTACCCCCACCCTCCCGGTTCCTATGGCATTGGATTCTGGTATGCGCTAAAGTCTAAAGATCAGTCCTAAAGTAAACAACATTCCGATAAATTTGATTTCATTCTAAATGTTATAATTTCAGTATGTTTTGAATGATGTGCACAATGTTATCAAATCATATCAGGATCTTTGACCTACATGTAGACCCTGATTTTTTTCTGCAAGATCCAAGTTTTTTTCCTCCGTCCAGCTAGTAAATAGCATCTCTGTAGCAATATTGAGAAAGGAAGGAAAAATGGTTAGAAATACCTGTGCCCCTACATTCAATAAGCTTCTTCCACTGTATCCGTCTAGCACTTGAATAGAAATTTTAAGACTGGAAGGTCAAAAATGGTTCTCTTCAAATTGTATTAATTACATTGTTATTGCATATCTACAACCTTTGCTTTAACCTAAAATCGAACAGCTTCTTCCCCTAACCAACTAGCATCTATGATCCCTAGCAAATATGTCAAATGATTTAGAAACTCCATGTTTAGCCTTTGAAAAACATTGTAACGGCAATTCTACATTTCAGAAGTAACATTAATTAATTCACTTTTAGTTTGCTTGAGACCAATACTGATTTCACCATTAGTAAACCTGTGTACCAGGAATTTTTACAATTATTTAATTACCAACAGCAAAAGTGCCGATCAAAACAATGGTTCAATTTAAGGACATTTGCTACAAAAAAATTGAATGCATGGATTAGCAAATTTTTAAAAAGTTATTTTTATAAAAAAAAAATTGTAATTAATGCAAATTTCATTTTCCTAAAATATCAACTCTATTATGTTTGAAATTTTCTCTTTCAGCCATTCCCCTTACGACCCCCATTCCCACATGAATTTGCCGTATATGCCAAAAGAAACCAAAGCCAATTTATATCCTCCCTTCAACAGTGCCTGATGACCCTTTTCAGGCATGGATCCAGGACTTTTTTCCAAGGGGGGTCCAACCTAGTCAAAAAAAATTCCAACCCAGAAACTCCTTCCCCAAATGAAAAACCTATTTCGGGGGGGGGGGGGGGTTAGTCGCTCACTACTTAAGCTTCATACGTATGACTTTTCATACCAACTTAACAGGGGTCCGCGTTTTCTAGGGAGGGGGGGGGAGGGGTCCCCAGGTCACTTTTAGTTGCTTTAGTATATACATTAAATTACTCGGCAAATTCCGGGGGGTCCAGACCCCTCTAGATCCGCGCATGCCTTTTATTTTGCATGTTTGTCAAGGAATTTTGCCACCCCCACCCTTCCCCAATAATTGAAACTGCTTACTACGTGCCTAAATTCATTCACTATAGGCATTAAATTGAGAGAAAAAGTTTGTATGCAAATAGCCTTATGTACAATGTAAAATTATGAAATCTCGTAAACTAAATAAAAGAAAATGTTCGTATTCGGCATATGCTCAAATGATACTCCACTTCATATTTTGATTAATTATTTTTTATTGTTATTCACAGTTTAGTTTTTGTTTTTTTTTAGATAAACACATCATAGTTAGTTAAAATTGTTTTCAAGTCCAATCATTTCCAAAATAATTAATAAAGTTATCACCATAAAAACATCTTGGGTTTCAACAGTTAATAACATTTCTTCGTCAGCAGGAAATCCATTCATCTCCGCATCCTATTTGTTATCTCTGTATTATATATCCGTACACTGTACGCTCCATCCCTTTAAAGGACGAAAATGTTTAGCCAAGAATGACATCTTTAATTATCGTTAATTGATCTGTTTAAAAAATAAAAAGAACCCGACAGCGAAATGAAATACAGGGAACAAAAAATCGTGATCACAACACCTTTTGTTGACGCTGTTGCCAATGAATGAGAAACCCCCGCTGTCACGTGACAGGTAAAGGCGCATTGTCGACGATTTCGGTTTAAAGGGGATTAAAATCTACCCATATACTTCTTTGGATCGTCTGTAAACAAGAATCTCATTTTTGAAAATAGTTTATTTATATTTCCTGGGAATACGGTGACCGTTTTGCGGGCAAAATGGGAGCGAAAGTTGGGGATGAAAAATCGGAGGATAAGGAAAAATCTTCAGATGAAAAGAAAGAATATATGGGTAAGCTTTGTAAAACTTCTAATTTTGGATTGCATTATTGGTGAGGAATGATATTGTGTTCTTTGGCATGATTTACGGTTCACTGGATTTAAATTTCAAAATCTCAAAGTGTGAACATGGTGAAAGTGGAAACTAGTTCACTTACATGTACAGAATGTAAAAGCAGACAGGGTGTGTTGATCATGTTGATTGATCGCCACTACGTAGGGTTATCAATAGGCAGGTCTATAAAGTTATTGACCAGGTGAATTTACGGTTGGATTGCAGTTTATTGTAAAATATCCTCGCACAGCCCAGTCAATATTTAATACAAGGTCGTACATTTTACAGAAAATTTCACAAAAAATCATTACCCTGGTCACTTGTGCACAGGAATTAATGAGTACAGTTCTTGCTGATATAAAACTTTGTCCACACCCATTGTTCAAATAAACATTTCTTCAGAAAATCATGATTTTGATTGTATAATTGGGAGCAATATCTTGTGTTCACTGTTATAAATCCCAATGTATCTATTCATAAAGTCATGAGGTACACATATTACATGAGAAGTCCACAGGCACTTGGGGTATGGACCCCCCCCCCCCCCTTTCCATTTTTTTTTCTTTTTAAATCTGGGGTCGAGTCACCTTTTCCCTATTTTTGTATTCTGATATGCACTGTATGTTATCAATAATGTAATGATGATACCCGAAAATACCGGGCACTTCCGTCCCAGCTGGTGCACATCAACAAAATTTACCCTAGATGCAGGTGATTTAATCGAAATATTTACAAATCGGGGGCACATAAAAATTGAATGGAAATATGAAAAGGAAGAAGAATGTATAATGAATTTATTGATGTATGCATATTCCAAGTTTTCTTATTCTTTCGATAAATACTCAGGCGAAGTTTAAGCGAGGTGAGGCAGACAATGAGAAAAGAGTTGCAAGCCTTCTCTCTTTTTATGTATCAGTCGAAAACAGTTTATTTAAAAACAGCATATAGACAAAAGAGTTACATTATTGATAATATAAAGTGCATATTAGAATATAAAAATAGGAAAAAGGTGACTCGACCCCAGATTTAAAAAGAAAAAAAAATGGAAAAGGGGGGGGGTCCATACCCCAAGTGCCTGTGGAGAAGTCAGCAGTGGTAGATGTGGGGAGAGGGGATGATCGATTCATGCATAATAATATTACATTATTTAACAAAATGATGTATATGTGTATTAAACATGTTGATCATAATCTTGGCCGATCTTGAATTTTGGAGAATTTTAATTACCTTAATTTATTACCCATTTTATTTAGGTATCATAATCCCTCCTATTTCGAATTTTGGAGAATTTTAGTTACCTTAATTTATTACCCATTTTATTTAGGTTAACAAATCTCCACCCTTCACTACCACCCCAACACCAATAGTGTTTGAGGTGAACCTTTTTTGTGTAACTGTTTAATTTATAATCTGTCAATGTTCTTATCCCCAACCGCCCTGTGTTCAAGGTTCTGGGTTGGTCACAGAGCAGCTTTGTGTTTCTATTAGCTAGTGTACATATATACTTCTGTCTTTCTTTGAACAAGGAAGTATTGCCCTCTATTTTACTAAGTTCCTCACATGCACCTATAACTACCTTACTCGTTCTTGAAGAATTCTAGAGATATTTAAATGTAATATATTGCATTTAACTGCAATACTGAGAGAAGAACCGTAAATGTGTATAACTACTAAAGAAACAGCTGATGTTTAATTTACTTAGTGAATGTCTCAGGACCCCCCCCCCCCCCACCCTTGGAATTTGCAGAGCTATTAAAAGTATAAACTTGAGCAAATTGAAAAAAAATGACTGTGGACCCCACCAACACGAAAAAGTTTTTTTTTAACATTTGGGTTATGGATTTTTGAATTTATAAAATTTTTGGGTTGGAATTGGAAATGTTTTGAACTGGGGTGGAAATCCCCCCCCCCCCCCCCCCCCCCCGGTAAAAATTCCGTTCCTGGGATGGATGCCAATCATATATTTTAGCTACATGTAGAGTAATCATAAACTGTCAGGCTTTTATTTAAAAAAAAAAAAGATCGAAAATTAAGTTTAATATGGATTAGATAATGGATTGATATTCATGGATTAATTATATTCATTGTAATTAATTAACATTCATTAGGATACCATGCATAAAGAAGCACTACTTAAAGAAGCACTACTTGCTAATCACAGTACTCTTTTATATTTATAAAGAGTACAACTGTATAGATAATTAAAGTTAGAGTCCGTCTTCTTTATTCAGTCGTGAACTTCTATTTCCATTAAAGCGCTATAATTATCATACAAGAATTGGTCATGGGTTTGTAACTGCCATGGCTCCATGAATATTCAAAATTTATTTACTTTTTGTAAAAGCCAAACAAACTGAGCTGCAGGAGCAAGTGAAAGATCTGTCTGAAAGTGACAAGACCAAAGGCAACGCGGAGAAAAATGCCTCAGAATATGCTGGTATCATTATGATCTGTAGAATTGTAAATCCATCTACATTTACCTATGAATTGTACATGTAAATCCTTAGAACATCATTTATATGGAAACACACTTGCTGTATGTCTATATTTGCTATTGTTATCTGAAATAATTTTGTTTGCCTTCCTGATGTTGTGGTATTGTAAATCTGACAATATAGTCTCCTACATCCTGCATTATCAAGTAAGGCACTGTTCATCTTAGGCAGGCATGACAGATAGTAATTTAAAAGATCTGAAAAGTTTATTGATAGGTATATTTAATAATTATATCTTTATATGTGCATGTGTGTATATAGCCATTTTTTGTCCCAGAAGAGAGGGTTCATTCCTTCATTGAATAATGTCATTGAATCTTAATATATGGTGAAAACATTTTTTTGTAAAATTAGAAAAAAAGTTTAAATTTGTTTAACAGTAAAAGCTATACATAGATAAATTCTCATTTTGCATGAATAATTATAAAATATGATTTTATCTTCAGGTGATCCCAGGAAATATGATCCAAACTTTAATGGCCCAATAAAAAACAGGTAAGAGACAAGATAGATCTAATGGTAATAAAGATTGATGTACAGGTATGAGTATTAACTACTTGTGGTGTACGTGTCTTGGTTTTGAGGCAGTTTTAAAAGTTTTAGGCTGCACTTAAATTTTTTTTTCAAATATCTTGTAGAACCTATCTAGTATAAATAAATTAAGTTCTTTTTCCCTATTTACATTGAAAATAAAGTAAATGAAACTTCATCCTAAACTCTTCATGCTTGGGTTATCAATATAATTATAAAACCACCAGTTAAAATCTGTAAGGAATCAATTTTCACGCTCAGATACTTACTAGATGCTTGGATGAAAAATCCTCAAAATGAGAGAGCAATGACAGCAACTATATATTAATGGAAAAAATGCAAAAATAGAGGAACTGTGAGCACTGAGATAACAAAATTTTTTTAAGTTTTAGGAGAAGTTGAAGATAAGAGATGGGTAACCCCAAGCGTTACAGACATAAAGATGGACTGTTAGAAACCCCTATCCCTCCACTTGAATATTTAATAATTTATGCATTTTATATGTATAATTGTAAGAATTTGAAAAATTATTTTCAAACAACAAGGTTAGTTTGTAGGTAATGTGACTTTCCAGACTAGTGGCACTTGCTAGATTTAGACTATATAAGTACTACCTGTTTTAATATTTTTTTGAAAAAAGTGTCAGGTCTTTAAATTGGTAGTAAAACTGTGTGAGTTTTTTTTAATGCAGCACCATTATACATTATTTATGATTAGGACTCTAAAATCTCACCACTATAATTCATAAAAAGTGCACAAATACAACCATAAATCACACTTCCTCTTTTTATTAGTAGTGTTTTTTTTAAATAAAAAGAGGTTTGTTAAGGAGATGAATGGCCCAGCTTTTCTCATTGAATAGTGATATTGCACAACTATATGTCTGCCCTTTGGTAGTGCAGGGCATTAGCATGGGCCTGGAAGCACAAACACTTCTGTAATAAAAGTTTTGTGACCCTCATAGTGCCTGGAAGCTTGCTGAAGATGTATACATAGTGAAAAAGAGGGAATCTCTAGGACATATTTTGGGGGAATTTCGATACTGTTGCAGTTGTCATCTTTTGTTTTCAATAAATAAGTTGTACATGTTTTATTCCTAAATGCTTTAAAATCTTGAAGACCACTTTTTAGGTCACCTGAGTCACTCAGGTGACCAATTGCTATCAGTTTTTCAATAGGCATTCATTGTTCGTCATGCTTTAACATTTGAACATTTTCAGCTTCTTCTCTGAAACTGCTCAACCAATTTTGGCTTATAGCATCTTTGGGAGAAAGGGAACAAAAATTGTGAATTTCATGGTCCCTGACCCTCTGGGGCCTGAAGGCTGGGCTGAAACCACTGAATTCATGCAGTCTTTAAGAATCTTCTTTACTCCCAGGCATCATGCAGTCAAACTGGTGGCATGATTTTAATAAGCATTGAGTCCTCTACAAAAATTGTGAAATTCTGGCCCCTGGTGCAGGGGTTCCGGGGCTAGGACGAGGATATATGGATCATATATTGAAAGTGCATTATTTCTTTGAAAATGTTCTTCTCTTCTCCTGGGTACTAAACAAACTAAGTACATAGTTATGATGAGCAAGGGTGCCTAGCTCTTCCAAAATTTTGAATTTCATTGCCCCTGGGTCAAGGGCAACGGTGCTAGGGTGGGGCTCAAATGATTAGATAGTTAAAATGCATTAATTCTTTGAAATTCTCCTCTTCTTCAGGGTATTTAGCAGATAAACTAAGTACATGTATATAGTTATGATGAGCAAGAGTGCCCCTTTCAAAATTGTGAATTTCATGGCCCCTAGGTCAGGGGTTCTGGTGTTAGGGTGGGGCTCTACTGATTATATAGTAAAATGCATTAATTCTTTGAAAATGTTTTCCTCTGCTCCTTGGTATTAAGCCGATGAACTAAGTGCTTGGTTAAGTTGAGGGAGGGTGCCTCAGGTTCAGGGGGTTCCATTGGGAGCTTATTTATAATATACTGAAAATGCATTGAAAATCTTCTCTGCTCCTGGGTATTTAGCAAACAAATAAGTACATAGTTATGATGAGCAAGGGTGCCTCTTCCAAATACTGAATTTCATGGACCCTGGGTCAAGGGTTCTGGTGTTAGGGCAGGGCTCCAATGATTATATAGCAAAAATGCTTTGAAAATCCTCTCCTTTGCCCCTGAGTATCATTCCAATGACAGTTTTTCATTAAAAACTATAAAGTAATTTGTTATTTTTAATACCCTGATGCATATATGATATATCTATCAGTTATGGAGGGATGTTAATTAGTATCAATCTATACAAAAATGGTAATAACTAATAAGTAAACTATTGATGTATTTAGTTACCGGTATATGGTATTTTTTTATATTTATATTACACTTGTATTTTGCTTATAAAGTGTGTGGAAAACTACGGCATTCTAAACACCATAACACAGACAGGGGGTCAAAAAGTTAAGGTACACATTTTATTTTGACATCACAAACGCTAAACGTGGAATTGCAACGTCATAAGCGAAAATCAAAATTCACGCTCACATTGAACAGAAGCTGTTGCAATGGCTCTTCCATTGATTGTAACTTCCCCAAAGGATAATATAGGGATTTTGAAATATAAATCACATTTGCAGTCAAGGCAAGGGGTTAAAAATGTAAATATAAGCAATTGAATCATTATTTTTTGAAAGATATCGTCTCATAATTGCAACGGTGTGTGCAAACAAATTTTCATAACATGCTAACGCACATTACTCAATTTGTTTGCACACACCATTGCAGTTATGAGACTTTATCTTTCAAAAAATAATGATTCGATACTTAATATTTGTGAGATTTAAATGTTGCTCTTATATATACACAGCTGAGTCTCAGGAACATACAGTTTCATAAAGTTAAGATGATTCTAAGTACAGCATATGTTCATTTGAACATTTTAAGAACTCCGACACAGAAATAATCCTTGTGACATTGGAAGTACTAAGAACATTATAACACAACAGTTCAGCAAGAAATTCAACTTTTCGTTAAATGGTTGGGTACATCACCGTGACAATTTAATAGCAGCCTTTAGCAGGAACATCATTTTTTGTTCCAATTAAATGCTTTCCACCCATTCAGAAACACTGCTGAAGCCAATCTTTAATTTGATAGCTGAAGACCTGAAAAACCAAATTATATGAACTATACCCGGTACTTAGAATTCGGAATGACACACTTCTTTAGTAAGTTTGGTGGCCATTTGCCATGCACTTTAAGAAAGCATTTATAAAATTATTGACCTTTTCTCAGAGATTTGAAAGAGGATCATTGGTCATTTAATTATTAATGCAGCTATATTTTTTTTTCCATTTTTGGAAGATTAAGAGCCTTTGTTCTTAAAGAAGAAAATGAATTTGATACTGATTTGAAATAATTTTGATACTACATGTAGTAGTTTGCAATTGCTTTAAAAGAAAAATAAAAAAAAATAAAATTGTACCAGCTAGTTTATATATTGTACATATTTATTGGTAATTTTTTCTTGGATAAAGATGTTTTATTAAAAGGTAAAAGAAATGAGTTTTGTAGGGTTGAAGTTAATTTTCTTAAGGACCGCCCGGGTGCCCCCCCCCCCCCCCTTCAGATATACAATTCATGTCCCATGTAAAGAGAGAGAAAGTGACCTAGCATATGTAATAAAGCTTTGTCTCAGGTGTTATTATAATATATAGTACCCAGGGCTAGAAACAATTATTTTTGTTTACTGGTCACTCGGGCTATTGCCCTAAATTTTTACTGGTCAGCTTAGTACTTTCACTGTCCCACTGGACCAGTAGATTTTAAAAAGACTGGCTCAAAACCTTAAAAATAATAATAGTAATATTTTTTTTATATTGTGATACTTAGAAGTACAACTTAACAAAACAAGAAACAGCAGAAGTTGGGACACCAACCCTGTCAAGTTAACTAGCCTGACTGTGAATGAATTTTATTATGCATAAAAAAAATGCTGACCCAAAGGGCACATGCCCTCTGCAATGTACTAGCCCATATTGAAAATTCACTGGCCCCTGACCAGCAGGCCATCAATTATTTCGAGCCCTGGTACCTATGTGTACTTCTGTAGCTTTTACCTATGCATTTTATATCCGAAACAGAAATTGAGAGAATCCTTTGGGATGCAAGGTCAATTTATTAGCATATATAAACCAAAGACAGGAATATATATATATAGAGACATTAATGTGTCAATCAGCAGTTACAATGAGTGGATATGAAGTAAAAACAATTGTTTTTTAACCCAGAAAATCCAGGGGGACAAGATAAACAAGCTGAAATGCATACCTTTATCTCATATTATGCATAGTGGTATTTGGGGGGGGGGGGGGTAGGGATCCTGTGTCCAGAAAGTACCTGTGTACTTTGATATTAAATAAGTGGTTAAGTTTCCAGGGGACAATTTAACTTGCCATTTAAGTCAACTGTTGTTGTTTTTTGCTCACACAGGGTTTCTGATTGAAATTGAATTGGTTTCAAGTCTAGGAATTTATTGGAAAAGTAATTTAACCCATCTGATGTGATAAGGAATTACTGACTGGACTTTAAATCGAATATATTGATTAAAAAGCTCAGCTAAGTAGAAAATATATCAGTTTCCCATTAAAGACATGCATTTAAATGGATTGTAAATTTTACACATACCAGTAATATCGTTGCAGCTATCTTGATCTCATATTATATTGTAAATGTATTAGCTCCATTTCACTGTGTAAGGGAAACAACTCTGTAACAATGTTAATTATTTTTACAGATCATGTACAGATATTATTTGCTGCTTATTATTTCTGATTTTCCTTGCTGGGATGGTGGTGTGTTCTGCAATAGGTAAGAGATTCATATTTTACAGGAAATAAATTTTGTATAATACATTATATTTAAGCATTGAATTCTTATTTTTGGATATCGTCGGTCCTAATTAACACACCTAGCCCTGCCGACAAATTGAATACATGTTAGCGCGTTATGATAATTTGTCAGCATGGCCAGGTGTGTTATAGGACCGATGACATCCAAAAATAAGAATTCAATGCTTATATTTACATTCTCTAATTTTCTCTGTTCATAATTCTTTATTTTGTTAACCTTTAATTAATATGAATTAAGCGCCTTTCAGAACTGGTGTTCTTAATAGACATGAGGGCCGTTTGTGACGTTGGAAAGTTAAATAATGCAAATGAACACTGCAAGGAAAAAAATTACAAATTAATTTTAAATGCACCATTGTTGTATTGTTACATTAATTTAACAGGGTAGTTGTTTTTTTTTTTAATTAAATTGAGTCAAAACAATATACATTTTGGTGTTCCTAGAATATTGAAAATGCATACAATTCCTACTGTGTATTCTACCACATGATGACAAGGTTTCGCATGTGTTGTAGAGATTTGAATGTCGTGGATTACTAGTGGATTTCATAAGGAAAATTACACTGAATGTAAATATTTTATTATGGAGGTACAGAATATAGTCATGGTGAAGCCATGAGTGTTAATACTTGTATATTTTTGCTCTGCTGGTCAAAGACCAGCTTGGGTTAAGCATGGCAAGATGTCTTTTGTTCATCTGTTTGTCTGTGTCGCCTTCTCTGTCAAAATTGAGAAACTGTTATTCTATTGATGCAAAATTCAAGAAAAAATTGTACAACTTTTTAAACTATTTTAAATTCAAACCAGAGAGCTGCAGTCTATTATTAAGTTTTCTGATTGAAATTATGCTACCAGTGTATTCTAAATCATTAGATTGTCAAACATTTCTCTTTCCATAGAAAAAAAAGTAATGCTTCTCTATGTCAGAATTTAATTTCTCTATTTTTCATTTTGAATGAACAAATATATCCAAATTCTTTTATGCATATTATTTGTAGGATATGCCAGAGGAAATCCTTATAAACTCCTATATCCTACTGACTCTTCAGGAAATATATGTGGATATGATACTGGATATACGTGAGTACATTATGAAATGAACTGTTCACATATCTAAGACTGTATTCAGTGCTGATATTGATGATATCGACTATATCATGTCAATATCATGCTGATATTGACCCTGATCAATACTATAACATTGGTAATTCTGGATACCACATGTAAGACTGAGTCTATGTAGATATTGACAATATCATGATGGTATCTGATCGATATCCTGATCAGTAAATTTTTTTTAGCTTTTACCTGAGCTGAAAGCTCAAGTGAGCTTTTCTGATCACATTTTGTCTGCCATCTGTCTGTCTATCCATCTGTCTGTCCGTCTGTAAACTTCTCACATTTTCGACTTCTTCTCAAGAACCTCTGGGCCAATTTCAACCAAACTTGCCACAAAGCATCCATGGGTAAAAAAAGGGATTCAAGTTTCTTCAAATGAAGGGCCATGCTCTCTTTCTAAGGGAGATAATTAAGAATTGGTGAAAATTTGGTGTCCTCTTTAAAAAATCTTCTTCTCAAGAGCCATTGGGCCAGAAAATTTAAAACTTGTGTGAAACCTTCATTACATAGTGTTGATTCAAATCATGACCCCCGGTGGAAGGGTGGGGTGCTATGGGGTATCAAAGTTTTACATAGGAATATATAGGAAATCTTCTTCTCAAGAACAACAAATCAGTGATTAGTCATATTGATGTGGAAGCATCCCCAGAAAGTGTAGATTCAAGTTTATTCAAATCATGACCCCTGGGGGTAGGGTGGGGCCACAGTGGGGGATCTAAGTTTTACATAGGTATATATAGGAAAAATCTTCAGAAATCTTCTCCTCATGAACAATAAAGTCATGATTAGTCATATTGATATGGAACCATCCTCAGGTAATGTAGATTCAAGTTTGTTCAAATCATGACCCCAGGGGGTAGAGTGGGGCCACAGTGGGGGATCAAAGATTTACAATGGAATATATAGGACAAATCTTTAAAAATCTTCTTGTCAAGAACATCAAAGCCACAATTAGTCATATTGATAAGGAATCATCCTCAGTTTGTGTAGATTAAAGTTTGTTGAAAACATGACCCCCCGGGTGTAGGGTGGGGCCGCAATGGGAGATCAAAGTTTTACAATGGAATATATTGGAAAAATCTTTAAAAATCTTCTTCTCAAGAACAACAAGGCCACAATTAGTCATATTGATATGGAATCATCCATAGGTAGTGTATATAGTAGATTCAAGTTTGTTCAAATCTTGACCCCTGGGTGTAGGGTGGGGCCACAATGGGGGATCAAACTTTTACAATGGAATATATAGGGAAATTTTTTTAAAAATCTTCTCAAGAACAAGAAAGCCATGATTAGTCATATTGACATGGAATCATCCCCAGGTAGTGTAGATTCAAGTTTGTTCAAATCATGACACCCCCCCCCCCCCCCCCCCCAGGGTAGGGTGGCAGACATCTTTTAATTCTGTTTTCAAGAACAGCAAAGCCACGATTAGTCATATGAATATAGAAGCATCCTCAGATAGTCAGATTCTATTTCATTCAAAACATGGCACCTGGGGGTAGGGTGTGGCTAGACCAGGTGATCAAAGCTTTACATGTGAATATATAGGAGAAGAAATCTGCTGATGAAGAACAGCAGGGCCATATTGACTCAGGTGAGTGTTGTGGCCCATGGTCCTCTTAGTTTAAGCTATGTGTGGCATATATGATTTAAAAAAGCAATAATATGAAATTTGAGTGTAGGTATACTTGATATATGTGTGTAGGTATACATGATATATGTTATGTACATTCAAATTAAAATTTTCACCGATTCTGAACTCAAACAACCTTACATTTTTTTTTTTAGTTAAAATGACTTTAAACTTTGTTGTAATTGTGTTGAATATTAAAATAAGATCCATCACGTGCATGACTGTTGGAAAAAAAATCAACACTAAAGCCATGATGAAAGAAGAGGTATAAATATACATAATAATAATGTTAATATAACAAATATACATGATTATGTTAATACATGTATAACATCATTTTCTCTTTACAACTTGCCATGTCTGCCTTAATGTCTTCTTCGCTACTAACCAGTGGTTGAGCACACAATTGAATATCGTAGCGATATTGACACTATGAAAAACGTCAAAAATTGATTGTACTTAAGTAACTCACATATTAAAATCACAATATTAAGGAGGTTGGATCCTGCCATCAAAAGTAATGAGAATTTTTTATCAAGTATATTTTTAGAATTTATACACATAGCTTAATTAAAATTCAAAACAAAAAATGGGGGTCAATGCGCTTCTTTTGGCGCTACAGAGCATTTAGTTTGACCTTTTTGCACTGTAAATATGTCTTACACATAAATCAATTTTTAAAGTTTTCCTCCAATATTTTTTATTCAAATAAATTATGGGAACAAACACAGCCTTATTTCATCTTGAATAGACACATTAAAATTTGTGACAACGAAAAAAATTTTAAATTATTCTGCATGTTAATTTATTTGACCTTTTTGCACTCAAAAAATTTCATTTTTCTGGCATTAAAAATTTAACAAGCAAAAAAATCATTTGAAAGTAATGACATTTTACTGAATTTAAGAATAATGGTTAAAGGCATCTTATATATTCAGAAAAGAAAATAAAGGTGGGAGCCTGTGATGTTAATTTTTAGATAAATACTAAAATAGTGCTAATTTTAAGCTTAAAATAGAGATATTTTTTCTTGATTTACACAATATATTTGCTATATTTATGAAATATGATGATAGAATTCATGACGGTTTATTTGATATATAATATAGGACTAGTATAAAACAGTTACAGTCCCTGAAACGTTCTACTTTCCCACTTGAACGGTGAGCGAACGCTGAACGAATGCAGAGCGAACGGTGAGTGAACGATGTGTGAACGCTGAACGCAACTTGGTGAACGATGTGTGAACGCTGAACGGTGAGCGAACGCAGAACGCGAACAGAGCGCAAACGCGAACGCAAAGTGAACGGTGAACGAACGGTGAACGCAAGATGAACGATATATTCGGAATGCCTCTGATCTTTTCCTTGCATTGAAACTATTTTATTGTATTATAATGTCAGGTGCCAAAAAAATAAATAAAATAAATAATAAATAAGTAAACCAATAAATGAATGAATAAATAAGTCAATAAAATAAATTCTCCAAAATTGTCCTAAGAAAGACGATGCATGCACATTAAGTTTTTAATCACACGATTTTTATCGCATTAAAACATTGCAATTGTTGCCGAACGCTGAAGTATAAAGAAATCAGAGAAAACTTCTGACTTATAGAATGAATTAAAGCGGTTGTAACATCCATTCATATATCCCCGTGTCAGGGCGATTTCGTGTAAAGTAATGAAAAAAATTCATTACAAAGGTCAGTGGACGTTTTGCATTTATACACTCGTATTTTAAATTTTTAATACAATAATATAATGAATTATTATTTGTCATGATGATTTATTGAGCTGACTTCTACACGTATATGTACATGTAGATGGCCGTGGTTATACTCGGACAAGATAATACAAAGATACATGTTCATATTATTTGTTATAAATTCAATTTTCAGAACTTGATATTTAAGTAATATGCTGTTATAGTTTTTATTAAACAGACAAATGAGAGAGAGAGAGAGAGAGAGAGAGAAATATTCCGTTTTAGCCCCCCCCCCTCCTTTCAGGCTTCACTAAATGTTTGTACCTATATGAAACAAAAACTCTGAAATTTTTTTCTAAATATATCAGACAGTGAAAGTAACTTTTTTTCTTTTTTATCAACAAATCATATCCATTTGTTTGACAGTCATACTCGTTTTTATTTTCCTGCTTCAAGTTCACACGAAGTCCACGTGCTCGTCCTGTCAATCAAAGTCATTCGACACTGTGCAGGTGTGAAAGTTTCGTCACATCAAAGATGAAGTGCGAGTATTTCCAACAAGTTATAACATCTATTTTTATCATTTCTAGATTTGATCCAAACATTTGAATAATAAATGAACAAAATACATTGGGCATTAACACTTGAATTTGAAACATACTCTCTGCCAATTTCAAATACCAACGCCGACATGTGTACATTTTGAACTACTATTGTTTGGTGACTTTTTTAGATGCATGTTTGTTTTGAGACTGAAATTTTTGTTCTAAAAAAGACCTTAATTTTTAAAAAAAAAAAAAAAAAAAGTTAATTAAAATATTCTGGAAATACAGTACTGACTAAGTAACCAATCTAAGGGGAAAAGGGGGGGGGGGGTATTAATCATATTGAATGGCAAACATATAAAGTTACGGTGAAGAAAGAATTTTTTTTTCTTAAACTATAGACTTTACATATTATAGTAGAGAAATTCTGTACTGCAGTACATTTCAAATAAATATTTCCTTTAACAACACTATCAATTTAATTCACTCCAAAGAGAATAAATTAAGAGGATATCCGCAGTACTATGTATAACTCTCAGAACTAGTTCTATCATATTTATTTTCCAGAGTAATTTAATAAATAACTTAACAGCTAAGTTAGAATAATAAAAATATATATCGTAGATATTTTTCAACATGAAATAATGATTCTTCAAACACGATATGTTAGTTATTAAATTAAAAAACCTGTAATTCCTTCCCTACAAAAAGATAAGTCCTTTCACTTCGGAGTTCCGAATGACAATGAAAACTGAACGATAGGTGAACGCTGAACGCAAGGTGAACGCAAAGTGAACGGAACGAAGAGCGAACGCTGAACGCGTTGTGAACGGTGTACGCAAAACTGTGAAGGGAGAGCGAACGGTGAACGCACGCTGAACGAACGGTGAACGCACGCTGAACGAACGGTGAGCGAACGAAAAAATGGGAAAGTAGAACGTTTCAGGGACTGTAACTGCACGAAATAACTCTGTGTGCAGGCTGCATGGAAAAATAGGAATCCAAACTTAACATACTTTAAATACTTAGAAAGAGAAAAAATGATCATTTTCTTCTAAAAAACCTTCCGCCACAAAATGTAGTTCCTCACTTAATGCTTTTAGTATGGAATTTAATCATGGAGTTTTAACTGAATATAGTTTAATTGGCATTGTAGAATCCAAATTTATTGTAAGAATTAAAACTTTATGCAGAATTTTTGAAATATAGGTTAAGATATAAATCTGCTCAAAAGCTCAGGAGCAAACCTCGTTAAGGACAGTAACATCAATTCATTGAACAATCATGATTTAATATCGATACAGTATCATAGATACATGTATCAAAGATATGGACCATAAGGAAAACTTCGTTAACAGAAATTATTCTATTATACACATAAGTATAAAGAAACATAAAAGCAAATTAAACTATAACTATAGAGTATTCCAAGGGATGCATGTGGTGCCTGCATTTTAGCTTCATTAAAGATGTAAATAAATCTAAGAGTGGTCAGCTATTTATTAACTACTAGCATTATAGTTCATGTTAAAAAAAATTAAAATCCTCGTATAGTATAAGACTGTGATAGAATCTGACAATTTTCAAAGAAAATATGGTTCCCTAACCCTCAAATGAATAGCTAATTTAAAATTATTAAAAATAATTTATCATTTTATTAGTATACATGTTTACAACGATCCTCCAAAAGAGATTTCAGTCTGTCTTTGTCAGTTTACACTATCCAATGTGGAATACGGATCCCAATGTATTTTCAAAGTATTTAAATATAAGTTAGGGTGGTAACTGCATATCATACAGTTTCGAAGTACAACTGTATCATGAGTCCGTAAAAATGCTAATTATCAAAACCCTGCCTCTCAAAATTCAAAAAACTTTGCCAAATATCGGCAGTATGAACTATTTTGAAAAGTAGGTTATGGCTCAAGGGTCATGAGGTCAGTAACCATGGTAATTTATAAAAGCCATAGTGCCAAGCAATATATGTGCAAAATATCAAATCCATACCTCTTACAGTTCTTGATATATGAGGTGTGACAGACAGACAGACACCGGGTAAAGTGATCCCTAAGTGTCGCTCTGCTCTGCAGGCGACACAAAAATGTAATCTGTTGATATCCTAACTACATCAGGGTTGGACATAACTCACTGCGGAGCTATTGCTTGCATGGCCAAAAAATAAACCTTTACTAGGCTGCAATATATTTGTGCATCATGGATCAAGATCAATGTTTAGTCCTTAAGGTAGAGTGCTTGCTATTTTTAAAAAATGCTTTCAGCAGCATATATAGGTTATATAAGTAGTTTTATAGTACATTTATGTGTAATACCTGATTTTAAAGTCTTGTCAAAACTGTAATCCTTTATTCTCTTAAAGAAAAGATTTTCATTGATGTTTGAAGTTTTACTCCATACAGGTGATCAACTAACTGTGTAACTAATAATAACAAATTTACTCATGGGAATGATGAAATAGGTTTGACTGTGTTTTTCTCTTTTTTCAGAGACAAGCCTTATTTGGTGTACTTCGACATGTTGAAATGCGCAAAGTCCGGATCAGCTGTTATTATCACGGGATGTTCTACACCACAGGTTAAGTTTATTATAAATGTCATCATTATATACTATAAAAGTACTTTTTTCCAAGGGGTCACAATTCAGCAGAATCATAATTTCTGTTTAATCTGTGGATAGAAAAATTACTTTCATTTCTAAGATTGCCACTCTATGCTTTGAATATACTTCAAGTATGCTGCGACAAAGTTCTTTGTTGATGTATGAATTCTATGATTGAAGTCCATTTACAGGTTTGTGTGAAGACTTGCCCATCAACATACTGGTACTATCTATATCAGGTGGCACTGGAGACAGCTACCACTAAAACTGTGGCAGACAGAGCCACAGACATGATCTGTAAGGGGGGAACCGATACCTCTGTGGTAAGCGGCAGCACATTTAAAACTGTTTTCCGATTGAACAATCTATTATGGGATAATAAAATACAATAAAAGAGCAGCACGATTGTTCTGCATCACTTGTTTAGACAGTACTATGTACTCCATCCAGGAATCACACTTTGAATCAATTTTTGTCCTGTTTTAAAATAAGTGTTGAAAGAGAGATAACTCTGTTCATTCAAAACTATTCTGAATTATTAACGATAAGGATCGAGAAACAAAAATAATATTGTACAAAGATTTCCCTGTAAATCTCCAGTACCTCCACTGTGATTTAGATGCAAACATTGAATTAATGAGAACCATACAACATTTATTAATTTTCACTCTTTTTAAAATTTTAGGGCACTATCCAGAATCTGGTTGACACAAAAGCATGTGCTCCATATTATGTCAAATCAACTCCAGGTAAGGTAGACAATGTTTGCTGAACTTGCTAAAAATCTCAAAACTTTTTATATCAACATGCAGTTTTGATATCATAAGCTACAAAAATGTCTGGTCTGATCTGATCAAGGTTAACCTGAAATGGTCTGAAAAGTTGTCTATAAATAGTGCAGAGCCAATGATTCCTGTTAGTTCAGGAGCATGAAAAAAGGGCCAAAAAACTGGTTAAGGGAACGAAGGATTTATCTCTCTCTTGGTCAAGAAATTCAGTATCCCACAGATTCACTTATACCATTCCCTTCATCAATTTAAATTGAATTTTGCAAGACTTACAGAAGAAATTTATGATGAATTTCAAACTCGGGATACCACTCTAATTCAAAGCAGTATACAAGGCTGTCGCCAAGGGGTGTGGGTTGGTGCTATCGATCACCCCCCTCCCCCCTCCCAGCAAAGAAAAAAATGACCCCAAGTGCTGAGTAAAAGCCCTTTACTGGTATATGGTTACTCCTCATAAGAGTGATATACCCTGTAATCTTGTAAAGAACATTAAGCCACAACAATCAATTAATTCAGTGTTTGAAAATGATGTTCACAATGCACAGAAATCACCCCAAATGGTACCCATTTAAAAAAAATTTTCTTGCTTCTGGTAGGGGATACCCCTCCCAATCCCTCCATGCACCTCCTCCCCCTTTCAGAATCTTCTTGACGATGGCCTTGGTATAGCAAATTTATTTTTTATTTCATTTAAAACTTAAAAAGAGAATTAACACCCTGTTATCAAACAAACCATATATTGAATCTTCATAGGATTATTTAGAGCAATTGTAAATTTGTAATTTTCAGTGGTTGGCCGCTGTATCCCGTCGTTTTTCCTGGAGATAACAGACTGGGCACAGAACCTTGTTGTTACTGCGTCAGGTACAGACTACAATCTGACCAACACTGACGGGGAAGGAATCACAGGAAATGCCATGAATGAGGCTAGCTAGTAAGTATATTCTGCAGGAATCTCGATCATGAGTGGGGTGAGCCACTGAGAATGTATATTGATTCCTTGTGAATGAGCCAAGTGAGCAAGTATATTCTGCAGGAATATCTCTTGAGTGAGATGAGCTAGTGAGTAGTCATGCTATCATTAAGAGAGTATGGTTTTCTATGTATAGGGTTATCAAACATTGAAGTGAAATCAGTGCATCAGTTTGTTTCAATGATTGTAATAATGTGGTGTCTCGTCTTTCAGTTGGCTGGCTCAGTTCATGTCTGCTAGTGAAGTGGTGGAGAGGATCTACAAGGATGTGGTAGCCTCGTGGTGGCTGTTGTTAGTGTGAGTATCTTTACAGTGCTACCCTGTAAAATCTTTTTAAGTGAGAATAACCTGCAATCTGCACACTAAGATTAATTTTTTCTTTTGGAGAAAAAGGCTGTTCTTTAACAGAAAAATGGAAATAAAAATTAATTTCCAGCAACTAAAGCTCACTTTTGAAATAAGTGATTAATAAAACATAATGTGAAATTATTTTTAAAAGTTAACAGGGATTTTTGTTGAAAATTAGAGCTATCTCTCTTAGTAGATCAAGGGTCACTGCTCATAAGAACAAATTTGTACCCTAAAACTTGAGGATTTCAAAGTGTAAGCACTTGAAAGGCCTCAGATACTAGGTTAAGTCAATTTGTATCTACAGCTTAATAGAACTCACATTTTCATCTCATTAATGATCAATTCCGCAAAGGAGTGATGCTTTTTTGGGAGGTTGGAGGGATGGGGTATGATCTAAGAGTAAATGGAGTACCTTACAATGAACTTTACAATTTGTGTATACCTCTTAAAGGTTTTTGGGGGCAGCCATGGTGACATGTTTTATTTGGATTGTCCTGATGCGATGGCTGACTGGTATAATTGTTTGGTTCACAATCTTTGCTGTATTAGCAGTTCTGTCATATGGTGAGTTATTTTATTTTGTTTCACTGAAATAAAACTGTAATTACTCATATGTATTTGTCTGGAAAATAGGTACAGTAAATTTTTCATTTTTAAAAATATTTTTTTCTTTAAAAATATTGATCAATCATGGACCAAGATTTTCTTTATACAGCTTTTAGAAAGCTGTCATCCATTTCTAATTCATGTATGTTTTGCACTTTATGGCTTTTAGGAGAATTTGTTTTGATACAGAATTTCTAACTTTGATCTTCTTTTATCTTTGTAGCTTGCTACTACAGCTATACTCAGTACTTTGATCTGAAAACCAAAAATGTGACCGGGGAATGGGGATACTCTGAGGCATTTGCATTGAACTTCAGTTACTACCTACAGCTTAAAGAAACGTGGCTGGCATTTGGTATGGATAAAATTATAAGAAAATACAGTAAAACACTGTTACATATACAGTAAAACATGGTTACATATACAGTAAAACATGGTTACACCAAGCATTTAATATAATGAATTCATGGTTAAAGCAAAGTGGTAACATTACCTGTAGCTCTAAATCATATTATGAACATAGTGGATATAACTAAATTACTGTATAGCGGGTTTTCTTGGCGGGTGTAAAATTTGACGTTTTGCTTACTCAAAGGCATGCCAATAATTTTGGCATAATTAATTTTAGTTGACACAGGGTTCAAACACTTTGCAAAAGAACATTAAGAAAAATATCGAATATTTTAGTGATCAAAACTTTAGCGGGCTACTACCAAAACGTGAAAATAAGTCAAAATTAGCAGCCGCTAAAATAACCAGTTATGCAGTACATCATTACGAATCCAAATTGTTCATCCTTGGCTTTTTGCTATATGTGTATTTTACTGTTATAAACTTAATCTAGAATATTACAATTTTTTTGTCCTCTTTAAAAGTTATGTCTTTAATCTTTGTGAAAATATGAGATCTGTGATTATGCAGTCACTAAATTTTGGTGAATATTGACTCATTCTTTTTGATTTTCAGCTTGTGGAACAGCCACATTTCTGTCCATATTTGTTTTGCTGCTGATTTTCCTCCTCAATAGAATTTGTATCGCTATTGAGCTCATTAAAGAGGGTAGCAGGTAAGTTGTACACAGAATCGAGAATTAATACCCAGCTCAAACCAATTTCATTTGGTTCATAAATACTAAATATAATGAAAAAAATGATACATAAAGATTTAGAAACAAACAAAACTTAGCTTTATATTATATTCTGATAACCTCTATCGTTAATAATATCATGATCGAGGCAAGGAAATGCAACATACACTCTGAAATTCTGTTAACAGTAATAATTTTTTTGCTTGGTACCAAAGGTTTAACTGTATCTATAAATGTCATTATACACAGTTTAATTCACTTCTTTTTTTAAGGTAAAAAAATACAACAAAATTTTAACCAAATTTATCATAATGACAAGAGTTATGCCCCTTTTCTATACGGATAGTTTTTTTTTCCCCATAGAAAATTTATGTAGCCCAAAATAATGCTTTCCCCTTATTTGATTTTGTTAGATTCTTACCACATTTTTTTCTACATTCTAGAGTTTATTTATATAAAAAAAAATCTGTAACAATTACCGGGTAGTTTGACATTTGATAATAAATTTAGTGGACTACATTGCAGTGATGTCTGACTCAACTTTCATATGATTATTTTCAATTTTTCAGAGCCATTGGGAACATGATTTTTACTTTAATATGGCCAGTCTTTCCATTCTTCCTTCAGCTTATTGTTGTTGGGTACTTTGGTTTCAGCTCTGTGTATCCTTTTGATGTCAACATAGCTAATCTTGAACTTATAAGTAAATACAGTCGAACTTCGGCATCTTGAACACTGATATCTCAAATACCATGGATATGTCAAAGTGATTTGGAAGTCCCAATCCCTTATTCCTGAAGTATTATATCCTGGATATCTCAAACCCTTGGATATCTCGAAGTATTTTCTCGGTCCCATTGGGTTTGAGATAACGAGGTTTGACTGTATGTTGAATAATTGCAGACCTTATTGACTGATGTATTATAAGACCTCTTAATGCAAGTTTATAAATGAAACAATAAGTAATTACGAAGAATTTTCTTAACCCAACACAAGATACATTGCCTCTATTGGAGACCAGAAGTACTACACAAATGGTACTAACACAACAGATGACGGTATTAACTATTACCTCTCCAGGATTCCTTGTGAACCTGATGTAAGTCCCTCCTCACCCAAACCTACTTCTTATCTCTGTGACATTTATTTTAATTTCATTTATTTATTAGATTTGAGGTATTAACATTTTTTTAACCATTACAGGGCACAACTCAAGGGTCCTATTGTGATTTTGTGAAATATGGTGGAACAGAGTGAGTATATATAATTTTGATGTTTAATTTGTGCAGTTCTGTTCACTAGCTATTATTGTGATAATTAACTCCTGACTAGTCAAAAAGAAATAATATTTGTCTACCTCCCTCTTTTCAGGTATATAGTGACAATGCAGGTTTTCATGCTGTTTATGTTTTTCTGGACTATGAACTTTGTGGTTGCTATGGGACAGATGGTATTGGCAGGAGCTTTTGCCTCGTATTACTGGGCATTCGAGAAGCCGAAAGATATCCCAGCATTCCCCTTGTCTGCCTCGCTGTGGAGAACATTTAGGTGAGTTACATGTATATACAGAATTATACAACTATATAAGAGAAAAATATGTTTCATACTTTCATTTAATTTAATCAATTAAAGCCTTTCATCATTAATTTTTGTACATTCTGCCTCATTATGCTTTATTATCATTGCAAAAGCAGTCTTTGTCTCCATCAATATTTTTTTAACTATCAACAACTATAATCAATGTCAAGAGAGTGTTGATAAAAGTTGAGGGGTTTTTGCCCCTGATTTTGAAGATCAGGTGGATATAATTATTGGGAGTGTTTTGTATTTCATGTCTGTTTTTATATATTCGCAAGATTTCAATCTTTGCAACAACTTCTGACTTGAGGACCCTCTGTACACTAAAGGAAAAGATTTTTTGGACATTGAGAAAATTATTATTTGTAAAGGTGTAAATATTGAGCTTATCTATCACATTTTCAACATAGGGTACCTTGTATTTACCCTGAGGCAAAATGTTTAAAGACAATGAAGTACTGATGAACAGAAATCACTGCTGTTTCAGGGTTCTCACTAGGATTTTGCTAACTTGAGTCCCAGGACTCAAGATTTCTGAGAAGGTTGCGTCCCAGCTAAATTTGATGCGTCCCAGAAAAATTATGTCGAGTCCCAACTAAATTATTGCAGTATCCTTCTATCCAAACATCAATAAAAATCTTTATCATTTAATCAGTTTGTTTATGCAATATTAACATATTCAAGTATGTAAACTGGTAATGCATTCAAGCCATATTCTAAAATACACGCGTAATCAATTGCCATACAAATAACTTGGTGTTTATAAAGCTAAAATTAACTGTTGCATAATCAATTAGTACCCAGAAGTTGCCTGTATACAATCACAGGTGTCATGTGCAATGAGGCGTAACTAATCCTGTCGATAGTCTGCACTGGGTGAAATTCACGAGATAATCAAGCCGCATTGTGTATACAAGCAGTAATTATGGTTTCTACACGTAGATAACACTCAAGATTCAAAAGTGTTTTTTTAAAAAAAAAAAAAAAAAAAAAGCTGCAGTGTGTTTACAGCTGTCGGAGTTTGGCATGCAACACTATTAGGCCTATGACTACAGACTAATAAACATGAACTATCTTATGATCAATCCCTGTTTAAAAAAAAAAAAAGAGAAATAAGTACAAGAAAAGTTGTTTCTTGGATAAACTTTATGATAGTTACTGGAAGGTTTCAATTAAATAATTCTTTGACAAATCCTAAATCAGAATTCCCCGTTTTCGAAACCACCCGAATTTTCTCGCTAACGAGGACGCGTCCGATCACGAGTCCGCGGACACATCGTTTTTAAAAACCTTGCGTCCCAAGTAATTTTGCTGCGTCTAGGACGCAGATTCTTGCGTTAATGAGAACCCTGCTGTTTACTTAAGTGGGCAAAATATCTGCAAATGAAGTGTTCAATCTATTCATCTACATCTGTTAAAATGTTTTGAATGCTTGAATTGATCACAAATGAAGTACATGTAATAAACTGTATCTTTCAATTTACCTTATGCAAGATGAATTTAAGGGGCAGTTTACTCTGTGTACAAAAATACCTTAAAATCAGAACTTTGTAGTGTGCAGTGTATAGAGGGTTCTTAAACAAAATATTATAAATTCAGTAAAGAACAAGATCTGTTTGACAAATAACTACTACATTTAGTATGCAGGTTAAGTGTATCATGATTATTCTTGTTTCAGATACCATTTTGGATCCTTGGCATTTGGATCTTTAATTATAGCCATAATCCAGATGATAAGGGTTGGGTTGGAATATCTGGACCATAAGCTCAAAGGCTCTGAAAATGCAGTGGCAAAATTCCTCTTAAAGTAAGAAACTTAATTGTCCAACAAAATTATTAAGTATGTTGCCCCGATGGGTTATTCACTTGCTGCTAAACTACATTTCCATGTAGATACTTAACCTTTATACATATGTACAGTAACTGTCACTGGTACTATATTATTTTTACATAAATTAGGGCATTGAACATTTAATAGACTGATCTGGAATTTTTTAAATACAGGATCCTGAAATGTTGTTTCTGGTGTTTGGAGAAATTCATGAGATTTTTGAACAGAAATGCCTACATTTTGGTATGTTTATAGAGAATTAAAGAAATAAAAAGTGTTTAATCTAAAATTTTCTTGTTTTTAAGGGAATAAAATAAAGTTTGATTTTATCTGGTATTTCAAAGCATTTTGATGATACTAAGGTATTATAAATAAATTTCTTTTCAAATTGACAGATTGCAGTATATGGCAAAAATTTCTGCACATCTGCCAAAGATGCCTTTTTCCTTATTCTACGAAATATTGTAAGGTATGGTACAATGCTACATGTAGATTCTAATATATGTCATACATATCAAGGAAAAGCTACTTAAGAAAGAAATTACTGCCACCGGATGACATCATCAACACACTGTTTTGTTTACAGGGTTGTTGTGTTGGACAAAATTACAGATTATGTTTTGTTCCTAAGTAAACTACTAGTAACAGCATCTGTAGGTAAGAACAGTCTAACTTAATTAAAGCTCTTTTTGGGGGGTGGGATGGGGGTGGGGTTTAAACTTTGCATCTGACTGCTTCAAATAAATAACATTAAGAATTTTAAGTTACATGTAATTTTTTTATCTGCAAAACACAGTGAGTATCCATTGTTGATTGAAGAAACACTCAATTTTGAATTCACTATTAAAAGAGTATAACTTTGATGTTAAAAATCTTTAACAGAGTATAACAGTGTTATTTCTATGCTTGGCAAGTCTTATATAAAAGCTTACTGTATTTTGTCCTCTATCTCCTCTACTGTAGGTGTGGCTGCATACTACTGGTTCCAAGGAAAAATTACCTACTTTTCTGAATATGTTCCTACAGATATAAATTATTATATCACACCTGTAATTGTAAGTATACAAACACATGTTTCAGTGAAGCTTTGTTTTCTTAACAAATAAACTTCCCCTTCCTTCCATCATCATCAGTTTTTTTTTTTCATCATCACCATTTAGGCCTATCATCATCATCATCATCCTCTTTTTACCATTGTCAAAACTGCTGTTAAATCATCATGATCTTCAGTAAAATAAACCAGTTATTTTTCCTGTATATTTCAGCTGGTAATTATAGGGACCTATGTCATCTGTTGCTGTTTCTTCAGTGTATATGAAATGGCTGTAGACACACTCTTCCTGTGTTTCTGTAAGTATAAAAAAAGATCTGAGTTCTGTATGTGAACTTGTCTCTAAACAGCATTCATATGTTAGTTCTATTTCTGCTGACTGTATACATGTAGCTAGTGCATTAAAAATGATGACTGAATGTGTTGAATTGACATACTATAAGTGTATACATGGACAGTGCTAATTTTTGACTTTTTTTTCTGATTCATCCATTATTTTATGGAAAAAGTAGAGTATATACTACAGTAGTTGTGTTTATGATTCTCAAGGAAGATCTAAGTTACAGGGTTGCAAATAACATTAAAACGTGGGCCCCCAACTTTACAAGTTTTACTAGCCCACATTAACATTTTGGGGCCTATATGATTTTCTAACCACTTCTTAAAAAAAAAAATCTCGATATTTGCATATCATAAAATTTCTAAGAGGTAATCTGTGCTGTCCACAGTCTTTCATTTTCCTGTGGATTTTTGACCATGGTCAGTTCCTGAAAAGTTTCAATAAAATTCTTAGTTGCCATAACACATCCTCAAGACCTGGCCCACAGACAAAATTGTTCACATTTGCGAGTGGTTATTTGTAACCCTGAGTTAAACATGTTTTAAAAATCTAAGAATTAGGTAAATAGAATCTCCGTTTGCCCTCTATAAGCAGTTATTCTTTGGTTATTTCACAGTGGAGGACCTTGAAATGAATGACGGATCTGCAGAGAAACCTTACTTCATGAGTAAAGGTCTAATGAACATTCTGGGCAAGAAGAACCTCAAACCCGGGGAGAAGAAGAAATGCTGTGGGTGCTGCTAGGACCCTGCTTTTCCTGACCAATCATTCTCAGTGAACATTTCATTATAAGGAGCAGATTATTGACATTATCTTGTTATTGTTGGTTATTTGAGATTATTATTTGATGTTATTAATTCACTCACAACACGGTTGGGGGTGATGTATAGTAACCTGACTGAGGTTGTGACAGTACAGACATGTTTCATTGTTCATTTGAATCATGATGTACACACTTTTCAGTTCCTAATAAGATGCTACATACTTATTCTAGATGTGTCATTTGTTCAAAGTAAAAAGACAGAGTTGTGACTAAATTTCAGGGATATTTGTTAGACAATCAAAGAAAAAATTGTTAAACTTTTTTTTTTACTTAAAAGTGAATCAAGGTGATGAAATGTTGGCATATTTTGTCATTACTTTTAAACTGTATATTTTTTCCTGGAAAATGATTAGGTGTCTGTGCACGTCTTGTGTAAATTATACCATGATAATTAATTGTGTTAAAATGTGCTGGGAGTATGCTTGCTTTTATTATCTGTGATACTGATATTTGACACGTTATCATTTTTGGTTTTTTAAAAATGTTTTCATTCATTGATTTACTTATTGTATATCATTCCAATATACTTTTATTTTTAACAAAATATATGCATTTTACAAAAAAAAATCCATTTTTAATATCTCTACATCCCACTTTTCTCTTTAATGCTGGAATAACATATGGAAATTTTGTTTTAGACACAATTTGATACTTTGAAGAATTTATCAATTCTGTCTTATTTTGTGTATTTTTTATCTTGCATTTAAACATTATATTTATTGATATACAAATAGATTAACTTATTTCTTGACATACTGCGTGTATATATTGCAGTTCCTTCCTCTTTTCTCCCCTTTCAAATTCTGAAATCTGAATATCCTCTGAGATTCAGTAAAAAAAAAAAAAACTGGAATTTTTCTGTGCAATTTAGAAGATCTTATTAACTTTTATGTGAATGATGAATTATCTGAACACTGCAAATATCTATATAGAATTGAGAACTAATTAGTCTAGGTGGCAAGATCTAGTCAAACACAGATATAGAGAAAGTAATTCACATATAGGAAGAAATTTATTACATGTAACGTCTTTTCAAAAGCAATTGTTTAATAAAGATGGTAAACTGTATATATACATGTATACTGGTTTACCGTATGTGGCATCAACATTGAAACATCTATTTATAGTGCCTTGTAAATATTTGCCAACAAATTATTTGATATACATATAAACTTATAATGTATGACTACTTAATTATAATGTATGATTACTTATTAAAATGTACATTGCCTATTTCTGATAACTTCAATATCACTTTACTTAATTTAATTAAATTTTGGGAAATAATTAAATCAGTTATGATAATTAAAATATCGTATCAATTTTAATGTAAAAACAATGATGTATATGTTAATCATATAATGTACCCAAAGTTTGTCTTGGCTGGTCCAAGCCCCCCCCCCCCCCCCCCATTTATTCTTTATTGCCCTCTTTTTCTATATTGTATATGTGTAATTTTTTTCAGATTTTAATATATTTTACCTTTACTTTATTTATTATATTAATTGTTCTATCATTAATTCACAATGTACTCAGATTACATCAGCATAATATGTATAATTCTTTTCTTCTTCTTTTTTTTTCCTTTATTTAAGTTCATGCCATTTTATTGTAGTTGTGTACATTTTTATGTAAATATGGATTCAATCAAAAGTATATTTTTATTTCCCTAAAATGCAATATAGTTTGTGCTGGTAAACAGGAGATGAAATTACAAATTAATGTGGTTAGCTTATAGCATATTGTTTGATGTAGGACAAATTTTTTACCATAAGAAACTCCTTATGGTGGATAAAGAGTGGTATTTTTTATTGCAGAAGGAATTTTATTGTACTTCTTTAGTAACTAATGTATACAACTGTATATTTGGTTTTACATATAATTCTTTACATAATGCATAAATTTTGTAAATCAGATTTATTCTTTTTTACCAAAATAAATACATCCAGACTAAAGCTTATTTTAATTTATTCTTATTAGAGAGTGCATGGTTTAAACATCATAGCTTGATTAATTATACATAATGTTTATGATTTTTGTGATTACCCAGGGAATAATCTTAAGAGGGACACAACAAAACATGAAGCACATACCAGCTGCTGCTCTCTACCACTTTTCTGAAAGGATATCAACATAAACTCATAGCTGATCAACACAGACTCACAGCTGATCAACACAAACTCACAGCAGCTGATCAACACAAACTCACAGTAACTGATCAACACAAACTCGCAGCAGCTGATTGACACAAATTCACAGCAGATGATCAACACAAACTCACAGCAACTGACCAACACAAACTCACAGCAGCTGATCAACACAAACTCACAGTAACTGACCAACACAAACTCACAGCAGCTGATCAACACAAACTCACAGTAACTGATCAACACAAACTCGCAGTAGCTGATCAATACTTGTAGCGGCTGATCAACACAAATTTGCAGCCAACTGATCAACACAAACTTACAGTAGCTGATCAACTCAAATTCACAGCAACTGTTCAATGCAAACTCACAGCAGCTGATCGACACAAACTCATAGCTGATTAACACAAATTCACAGATGCTGATTTACGTAAACTTACAGCTGATTTCTCTTTCTACATCTTATTAATATTTTACCAGATGGGGTGGGGGTTCTACTTTCAATCAATATCTTGACTCTAATGCATATCTTGAAACTATTATGTTGTCTTATGTGGCCTTGTACAGAATATCATTATTCCTTGGGTTAAAAAAAACTAAATGTGAATATTGAATTCTCTTAGTAGTTAAACTCAACAGGTAAAGCTAATTAATTATGTAATGCTTAGTACTCCTTTGACACACTGCATCTGAAAAAGGAAAATTCTTTTGTAGCAGAGGTAGGACTGAATCCACTCCTAAAGATTAGTAGCATTCATACTTTTTTATGTCAGAAGCAGACATCTACATACAGGATGTTCCAAAGAACATGGGTGAATTAGACTTGGGAAATGCCTATAGCTTCAAGTGTATAAAAGTCGAACTTAAATTGTGAGAGTTCAATTAGAAGTATTTAGAATAAAGTTCTAACTATTGAAAGGTATGAAATCATGACAAAATAAACTTTTCTGCGAAAAATTTTCTCAGCAAAAATTAATCTATGGTAAATTGCAGTTTTTTTTTAGGTGTGAACCCATGCAATAAAAATCCTGATAATCTTTTTAATTTTTTTTTTAAGAGACTTGCACATTAACCACTACGCCACGCAAGTTATGTCGAGTAGAGGCATTTAAATCATGTTTATGAGATGATCCTTGAATAACTGGACTTCAAATATGCACATGATTAATTTATTTAAAATTTCAATATGAGATTGATCGAACAGAAATGTTCGGAAGATAATATATACATGTACAATTATTACCTATGTAGAGTACAATGGGGGGGGGGGGGGATAAAACTTGTTCCATAAAAATGTAAATACGAAAATATGTACCGTCGGTTTTGTTTACAATTGTCAAAATTATTAACACTTAACAACTATTTGTACAAAGAAACAAATATGACCTTGAAAGACAAGGTTTCCCGTCTGGAGGTCTAAACACTGAACAAACTTCCTGTCGTGTGTTTCTACAACAATATGGATAAAAACTTCTTTCATCAATTACATGTACATAAAATGCATAATAATTATCAATTAAATATACAGAATATCTCTTATTTCTTCCTCTCATTTAAGAAATTTTGTTTCATGAGTATCTGATAGTATTTTTTTAAAAAATCTTTAATTGGTAGAATCATTGGGATCGAAATTCCAGGAAAGAATTCAAATCATATTTGCACACCAAAAATCTTCCTTCCAAAATATTCTTTTTAAAATTACACCCCATTGGCGATTTGCTGAATAGCTAAATCTTCAACATGAATTTTTTTTATGACAATAGATAGCTACGTCATTGGTCTCTGCATGTTAATTGTCACAACGGATACACAGAAGGGACGATTTTAAATAGAGATACACAGCCCAGATTAATTAATTTTTAAAGAGCCATTGTGCCTTTTGCACGTTTTGCTAAATAATGTGAAGGATTGATACAGGATTTTACGATGGGTTCAGGAAATTCAAAAGTAGAAGATTTAGATACAGCAAAAGAGAATAAAGAGAAAAAAGACGAAAAAGCCCAAGGTGAGTAGTTTTCATTCTCATGTATCGTATAAAAACTCGTGGACATCCAGTAAGTACATACAAGATTTTATTAGTCTAATTTGGGCCCCCGGAGGAGCAAAAAAGATTTACAAACATTGAAAAAAAAGAAGGATGAAGATTCAAATGATAGAACAAACCTGATCTTAAATATAATGAGCAGTGCTTAATTATAAAACCTTATCATAAATTGTCAAGGTTGCAATTAAAAAAAAATTGAAATTTTAATATTTGTGAAAAAACTCGACGGAATCGAATAATTTTCCAAAATATATAAGGCAACTGAAAACAAACGAAATTTACAGTAGCCCCCCCCCCCCCCCCGCCCTTCATGACATTTTTTGCTTGTCAAGAAATTTTATCAGGTTGTTTCAAATCCCCCCCCCCCCCCCCAACTCAAATTGCTTCCTTCGAGCCCGTTTTTTTTTTCTTCATATCTTTCTAGGTGAACGTTTAATATCCACATTCTTTAATTTTTTAAGCCAAGTACATTGTACCATGAAATGTGACAAGAACTGCTTCTTGTTTGGCATAAATTCATCACAACAATCGATATGAAATCATCCAGCAATATACAGGTGATCGATCTACAGGTGGTTCTCAGGTGTGGGAACAGTTTGGATGCAGTGAAATATGTGTGTTATACCTTGTTAATGGATGGTCAATCATCATATTCTGTCAATAAGTCCAAATAAAACAAAGGAACTCTGGAATTTTGATAGGCATACATGTGACACAGTTATTTTATAATAGACAAACTGATACGGGGGATTGTTTACATCCGTAACCCAGGAGACTGCATGTGCTCTAACATTTTGTTAAAACCGATATAGTAGGTCTGCGCACCTGATGTACGCTAGGTAACTACTGCGATCATGGCCCACTGATAAAATATCTCCATTTTGTTTAAAGTTTCCCAAAGACAAGTGTTTCGTCTAGGATGTGATTTTTACGACCATGTTTTAAAAATTGAACAATGGACTATAATGTTTGAACACTTAAGTGGATCATAATCATAAATTATTTGTGTGGAAAATGAGTAACAAGGTAGCTGATGTCGAGCAAGTGAAAGAAAAATCCTACGGTGAGATTTTGATGGCTATTACTGTAGTAATTCTTTATTCTAATATTGTTGGTCAATCCTGATTTTCTCTTTCTTTCTCTCTCTTTCTCCCTCTCTCTTTAAGATTGTGGGAAGAATTTTTGTCTGTCAATTGTCATCCGTAAAGAAGGACTGTGGATTTTTTTTTTCAAATATTACTTATACAGAATGAAGACTTTTCATTGAAGTTTTAAAAAATCACATATATTTAATAAAATATATTTATTTCAAGCCCATAGAATGCAAAGGGACCGGGGACACTTTTTTCCAAGTATAGTATTTTCCTACAGTAAATTTTCTTTTAGTTGCTGGTTGGGTCCTACTTTTTGTTGCTGTAACTTACA